AGCTGCGGTCAATATAACTGATTGAATGTGTTTTCCTTTACTGACCCGCGGTGGATCTGTAAAACTCCTATTCATTGCAGCAGATGTCCCCGCTGTACGAAATCTCAAGCTGCTATTTGAGGCAGGTATTCACGGATAACTTCTAATTACTGATCAGGTGCCACAAAGCCCGCTCAGCATTGCAGATGCTGTCAGTTCAATTGCCAGGAGCATGTCCAAGGATTACTGCACATCACTCAGAGATCCCTCTTATTGAAGCAAAGTGTTGGCTCCAGTCTTTTAATCAATGATTTGACAACACTGCTTGAGCAGTCAGCACCATTCACAGCTATTAAATCTGATGTGGAAAATTACATAAAAACATCAAGAAAAGTTACCTGGTCAGCAGGAAGGGAACTATTAGAGGTCACAGGGGGTATGAATGAACTTTTACCCCCTTACCCTAGGCTGGATGGGGCCTAAGCCACAAAAAACTGTTACCTGGGGATTCTACAAATACTTATTTATGAAGTTAAAGAAAAAAGTACAGCAACCATACCATATTTTTATGTGTCATTTTCTGGTTGGTATAAACTGGTATTTTTTTCCTTGCCTGTGTGTAGGCAAGTGCAGTTAGCTACTTTTCTCCTAGGTAGCTCTGTACCAGAATAGTGTCACCAGGTGCTAGGACCCTTTTATTAGAGCCCTCCTACACTGATGTCAGGGGTAAGGCAGCACCTATATATAAGTCAAGCAGTGAGGGACACAGACACACTTGGGGCATAGGAGCTAAACACCCCACATCTTTGTGGATGTAACCAGCACACATACAGTCATGGCCGAAAATTGTTGGCACCCTTGATATTTTTCCTGAAAATCAAGTATTTCACACAAAAAAGGTATTGCATTAACACATGTTTTGCTATACACATGTTTATTCCCTTTGTATGTATTGGAACAAATATAAAACAGAGGCAAAAAGCAAATATGACATAATGTCACACAAAACCCCAAAAAATGGGCTGGACAAAAGTATTGGCACCCTTAACTTAATATTTGGTTGCACACCCTTTGAAAACACATAACTGAAATCAGTCGCTTCCTATAACCATCAATAAGCTTCTGACACCTCTCACCCGGAATTTTGGGAACCACTCTTCCTTTGCAAACAGCTCCAGGTCTCTCTTATTGGAAGGACACCTTTTCCCAACAGCAATTTTAAGATCTCTCCACAGGTGTTCAATGGGATTTAGATCTGGGCTCATTGCTGGCCACTTCAGAACTCTCCAGCGCTTCTTTGCCATCCATTTCTGAGTGCTTTTTGACGTATGTTTGGGGTCATTGTCCTGCTGGAAGACCCAGGATCTTGGACGCAAACCCAGCTTTCTGACACTGGGCCCTACAGTGCGACCCAAATCCTTTGGTAATCCTCAGATTTCATGATGCCTTGCACACAGTCAAGGCACCCAGTGCCAGAGGCAAGCAAAACAACCCCAAAACATCATTGAACCTCCACCATATTTTACCGTAGGTACTGTGTTTTGTTCTTTGTAGGCCTCATTCCGTTTTCGGTAAACAGTAGAATGATGTGCTTTACCGAAAAGCTCTATCTTGGTCTCATCTGTCCACAAGACGTTTTCCCAGAAGGCTTTTGGCTTACTCAAGTACATTTTGGCAAACTGTAGTCTTGCTTTTTTTATGTCTCTGTGTCAGCAGTGGGGTCCTCCTGGGTCTCCTGCCATAGCGTTTCATTTCATTTAAATGTCGACGGATAGTTCGCGCTGACACTGATGCTCCCTGAGCCTGCAGGACAGCTTGAATGTCTTTGGAACATGTTTGGGGCTGCTTATCCACCATCCGGACTATTCTGCGTTGCAATCTTTCATCAATTTTCCTCATCCGTCCACGACCAGGGAGATTAGCTACAGTGCCATGGGTTGCAAACTTCTTGATAATGTTGCGCACTGTGGACAAAGGCAAATCTAGTTCTCTGGAGATGGACTTGTAACCTTGAGATTGTTGATATTTTGCCACAATTTTGGTTCTCAGGTCCTCAGACAGTTCTCGTCTCCTCTTTCTGTTGTCCATGCTTAGTGTGGCACAGACAGACACACAATGCAAAGGTTAAGTGAACGTCTCTCCTTTTTATCTGCTTCAGGTGTGATTTCTATAAATTGCCCACACCTGTTACTTGCCCCAGGTGAGTTTACAGGAGCATCACATGCTTGTAACATTCTTATTTTATCCGCAAGGGTGCCAATACTTTTGTCCAGCCCATTTTTGGAGGTTTGTGTGACATTATGTCGAATTTGCTTTCTTTCCTCCCTTTTTTTGTTTTGTCCCAATACACACACAAAGGGAATAAACATGTGTATAGCAAAACATGTGTTAATGCAATACGTTTCGTGAGAAATACATGATTTCCTGGAGAAATATCAAGGGTGCCAACAATTTCGGCCATGACTGTAGGTCTTACCAAGCCATCCTTAGCAACTTACAAAGCCATCCACAATTCACCCCCAGCTACATCACTAATCTGGTCTCAAAATATCTACCAAACTGCTCTCTTCGTCCTCTCAAGACCTGCTGCTCTCTAGTTCCCGTGTCACCTCCTCCCATGCTCGCCTCCAAATAAATAAAGGAAGACAGAGGGGCACCAGACTAAATGCAGCATTAAAACAATGGTATTTATTAAGACTAACAAATTGGAAGTGATGTCAACGGGACAACGTGACTCCGTGGATGTGAGTGGTAACATGTTTGGAACCTTCCACTTCCACGTTGCTTTGAAACACGTTGCCCACATCCATGGAGTCATGTCATCCCACTAATGGAAGTGATGTCAACGGGACAACGTGACTCCGTGGATGTAAGTGGTAACATGTTTGGAAGCTTCCACTTCCACGTCGCTTTGAAACACTTTACCCACGTCCATGGAGTCATGTCCTCCCACTAACGTCACTTCTGGTCAGACACCATCTTGCATCCCAAGCTGCATTCCAAGCTGGTTGTCATTGTAGTTGGCCACTTCCTGACACTCCACCACCATCGTCTGAACCACTGCGGCCATTGGACACCAGGACCACATGGGAGTTGCATCAGGATGTTAATATAAGCCTGTTTATTCCTATTTTGAGTGAGTAGCCAATTTGTTAGTTTTAATAAATACCATTGTTTTAATGCTGCACTTAGTCTGGTGCCCCTCTGTGTTCCTTTATATATACCTACAGAGTTTCCAGCTTCGCTCTATAAGGATGCTGCCGCCTATGGTGCATGATACTACTGGCCCAACTACCCATAGAACATTGGACATTTTTATGGACTTTTCTGTATGATCCCTCTTTTCATCAGGACTGAGCAATTTGTTATTTCTTCTGCGCCTTCAACATTTACAACCATGCTAACTTCCAAGACTTCTCCTGAGCTTCTCCCATCCTATGGAACTCCATGCCCCAATCTGTCTGACTATCTCCTAATCTATCCACCTTTAGACGATCCCTGAAAACCCTTATCTTTAAAGAAGCCTATCCTGCTTTTAATTAATGCACTGTATTTTTATTTTCTCCATCAGCTCATCCCATACAGCTATTATCCTTTGTATCACTTGACCCTCCCTCTTAGATTGTAAGCTCTAATGAGCAGGGCCCTCTGTTTCCTCTTGTAACAAATTGTATTGTAACTATAATGTCTGCCTTCATTTTGTAAAGTGCTGTGCAAACTGTTGGCGCTATATAAATCCTGTATAATAATAAAGACCCTGTGCTAGGCAGAAGGTCAGAAGGGGTGGGCCTGTACTCAGGATGAGTTGGCTGTAGTCTTTCTGTCCCCTATGTAGGTGGGGGCTAGGGTGGATTGCAAGATGCCTTTTAGGCCAGGCTGAGAGTGAGGCTGCTTCCCTGAAGGGTTCCCAGGAGAAATATACCTATCAAGGAGGTGACTACAGAGAGCACTGTCCTGTGAGTACTAATGACCCTGGGCAGGGAGGAGACTGTAAGGGAGATGGCCAATGAGGTGCTGTATATGCTTTCACGTCTGACTGCTGCGGACCGTCTACTAAACGTAACTGGCTGTGTAATATCAAGTGACTCCAGAATGTATGTCCTTGTGATCTGACTGTTTTGCCACCAATAAAGTGCAGCAAAACTACTTTTTGTGTGGAGAATCCTTCCTTGGGGGATATAAATGTCTACGGCCAGGAATGTTGTGTGGAGGCCTCTGCCAAGGAGTGTGGCAAAATATGGCAGAAAGTTCAGCTTCAGCAGGGGGGGGTCAGTGTTCATGTAAATGGGCCTTACTCTACTCTAAAAATAAAGCTCATGTACCAAGTTTTGGCTCTGAGCCAAGCATGGTTTGATGCACAGCAAAATGCGTGACTGCTACCTGAGCTTGGGGTGCCATTAGGACAGATCTGCTAAGACCAGATGTGAACGGGGGCCTTAAACGAATAATGTGCCCATTTTCAAAGGAATATTCCTTCAAAGGAATGTCCCAAAGGAGGTTATATACTGTAGTAGAATAACACAGTATAGGACTTATAGTGCCTCAGGAATTAAAACCATTTTGCATAAGTTAATTCTGCCAGCACAGGTTAAGCAAAGTTTCCTCCAGACCATTATTTTACACTTTGTGACATTAAGAGCGTCTTTTCAGATTTCATTCAGGGTAATCCTCGATCTGCTCGGCGATCGTACTTTGTACGTTGTTGCTCTTTGCACCTCCTTATTAAAGTAAACCTGTCACCACACATAACCTCTTAATGCTTGTTAATTAACTGATAGCAGCACCTAAGACTGCCAGCCCCTACGTCTCTTTCATTATGAAACTGCTTCTGCTGTCTCTGGAAATCCTGCGACCCAGAGCAATGCTGTGTGAATTTTAACTGTGCAGCCTAAATCGCAGTCTGACCCAACTCCTTGAACTATCCTACAACTCATACTCAGTTGACTTACTTGTGCTGACTGGCACTTCCCAACCGTACAGAAAGAATGGCCTTTAAGGGCCCTTTCCTACTAGAATGCGGTATGCGGTTTCCCACATGGCACTCCAATCGCACTGCCCTTGCGATCTGTTGCAGGTGTCAGTGCAAAGTTAACGACACTCCAAGCGCAGGTTACAAACGCAGTGCATTTGCCCACACCTGCCTGCACTGGTACCATGCGATCCAGTTGCAGCAGTGGCGTATTTACCACAAGGTTGCCTAGGGTGGCAATTTTCAGGGGGGTGGCGCTGCCCCCCAGAAAAAGGGGAACAATTGGGACCTGTCCCAGCTGCATGCTGCTGGAGGGGGCTGCATCTTTCATTGCTTATCTAAAGGCTAGTTGGGTGGATCTGGTGGTTGTGGTGGGGGGCTGGGGGAGGATATGTGTTAGCCAGTGGTGGTGACGGTGGGCTGAAATGGTGTAGGAATGGAGGGATGATTGCGGCAATGGGCTGTGCGATGGCAGTGGGAGGCAGGTGCTGGTGGGTGGGGGGGACCTTGGGGAGGGGGTGCTGGTGGGGTAGGGGGTGCCCAATGTTAGTGTTGCCTAGGGCAGCACATGAGCTAAATACACCATAGTACATGCACTACATTTGGTGTGGTACAGCACAATCAAAATGAATGTACTGAAATCGAACTGCAAAGAAATGCATGTAACCATTTCACTGCCTGATACAGTTTTGCTTTTTTTTTTTTTGCACACTTTTTTAAATGCAAAATTTAGGTGTGAAGATTAACCACCTGCTGACTGCTCACAGTAAATATACTGCGAGTGAGTGGCAGGTGCCCCCTTAGTGTTAAGATTTGTTTTACCCTTAGGCATGAAGGGGTTAACGTAGAACAGTGCTGAATAGCAAAACAAATGCCCTGGTCATGAAGGAGGTAAGTGATTAAAACCCCCAAACTCCCCCAGCAGAGACCCTGGAGAATATAATGGTGGTTGTTCCACAAATGGCAGTAGTTAGCGCAATGGATTATCAAACCCATATTTTCAGTAAAAAATACACTAAAGGTAATTTTAGTGCACGCAAACACGCAGAATATATCACCCATTATTTTGATAGCATATAAAAGATGAGATTGCAGCCTGTAAATGGATACCAAACATGGCAAACCTTTAAAATTGCATCACCTGTGAAATGAAATTTCAATACACAAACATTCCATAGGTGACACATAGGTGGCCCTACTGGGCAGCACAGTGGTTAAATGGTTAGCACTTCCTCCTGGCAGTACTAGGGTCGTTGGTTCAAATCCCAACCATGGCACCACCTGCCTGGAGTTTGCATGTTCTCCCTGTGGTTTCCTCCGGGTACTCCAGTTTCCTCCCACACTCCAAAGACATGCTGGTAGGTTAATTGGATCCTGTCTAAATTGGCCCATGTATGTATGAATATAAGTTAGGGACCTTAGATTGTATGCTCCTTGAGGGTTACAGACTGATGTGAATGTACAATATATATGTAAAGCGCTGCGTAAATTGACGGCGCTATATAAGTACCTGAAATAATAAATAAATACAGGCTATCAGTATATAAAATTAGACATGATTAGTGTCCCTAGAATTAATGTTCTTGCTGGCATGCGTAGCAATGTATAACCCAATCAACGTGTTCATACGTAGGCCCCCTTAATGCATGCATTTATGTTTATATGTGTGTGTACATGTGTACAACTTTATTGCTATTAGATATGGGACCACAACATCCCTAGGTAACAGCATTTTGCTGTGACAGGTTCTCTTTACTGAGGCATCAGAGGTCTATTAGTCTCCCCTGCCCTCCCCTGAAGCTAACAGGGTACAGATTATGCTCCATTCACTTCTTCCCCAGCCACAGCTACCAGGGAAAGTGACCACTGAAACCAGAAATGACATAATACATATCGTTTCTGAGTTCTCAGCAGCAAGGGGAGATCAACAAACAGACTTTCACTGGTCTCCCTCCTCTCTACTTGGCAACACCTACTATGCTGGCTCTGCGTGTGCAGGTTGGACAGCGGAGCCAAGGAGACATGGCAGGGAGGGTTGTGTATGTGTGTGTGTGGGGGGGGGGGGGGGGGGGGCACCAGTTCCAAAGGTTGACAGTCAGCTTGTGAAACTTACATGCATTCCCAGCTGCTGTAGTAGCCAAAAGTTTGTGTGAAACCCCATGGTGTTGTGAATATTACTACTATGTCTGTAGCATCAAAATGGTTAAAAGTATGTGGCATCAAAATGGTTAAAGTGCAGAAGCTGCCATTACTCCCAAAAAACAAAATTGTAATATATTGCAGCTTACCAGTCATTAGATGTGGTGGCTGCATTCATTTTCTTTTCTAGGCTTTTTTTCCCTTCTGTTTTCACCTGGTGATCTGGCCAGTAACACCTCCTATATTAGAGTGCCCCCTATCTGGATGAAAGAGCACAGGATGCACAACAGACATTGTCAGTCTGGGGGGAGGGGAGTGTTAGATGGACTAGCAGATTTAAATACACTAACAAATTGGTGCCAAACTCCAACTAACACTTTATAGGCAGTTACCGCAAAGAGTTTTTGTTCCTTTTGGGATACAGGTTTTATAAATAAATAAAGGCTGTTAATTGTAAGACTCCTTGCTAGTGTTAAATGGTTTGTCTCATCTCTGTAAGTGATAAATTCTGCTGCAGAGCTTGTTCTTTTGAAAAACAACAGACTTACTGGCTGGATCACCAGATGAATATAGAAGAAAGAAAGGCTAAAAAAGAAAATCAATGCAGCCATCAAATCTGCAATATAATAAATGTTTTCTTTTAGGTTTAATACCACTTTAAAGGTGGAATCCCAAAGCCGGTGGTGTGCAATGCATATTGTAAAGCACACTGCTGTGGTAACAGCCATACTGCTGCTTTTTAAATAATCTCTATAGCATCAAAGTTGAATTTCTAAAGGCAAATAGACAGTTCACAGTGCAAGGGATTTTGCACTGTGCTGGGAATTTTCCCTTAGCTTAGTGAATGCGGGAAAAAATTCAATCTGCAAAGAATGCGCAATCAGGTGCAAGGAAAATTTTAACCACATGATTGGATGATGAAAGTCAGCAGACCTAATAAATTACCTTGTAAAGCAAATCAGCTCTTTGCATTTAGTAAATCAGCTCCAAGAGAGTCATAAACATTTCACTTATTAAATAAAATATTATTTTCACCCATGTATTTATCATTTGTTGCATCTTAGTGCCAATCATCTGCCTCTTTGTTGTCATTTCAGGTGTACATGTACTCCAGTGATGGGTTTTCTGATGGGGACAACAGTGAATTATGATTGTAGTCTCTAGTGATGGGCCGAACACCCCCTGTTGGTTCGTGGTCGAATATACAAACCTAACGAACCGGGACAATTCACTGAGTGATATCTTACAGCATCTGAGCTACTAAAATACCGCATGAGTACTATTATTAAGTCATGCTGTACTTTAGTAGTGAAAACATTCTTTAATGTTTCAGCTGTCAGCGGGGTTCCCCACTGACAGCTGAATGTAAGAAGAATTGCCGACAATTAAAAAATTAACAAAAAAATAGTGTGGGGTCCCCCCCATCCATACCAAACCCTTAGGGTCTGGTATGGATTTTGATGGGAACCCCCACCCCCCCCCCCCGTCAAAATTGAAAAATCAATGTCGGGGGCCCCCCAAAATCCATACCATAACCTTGTCTGAGCATGCAGCCCGGCAGGTTAGGAAAGTGGGGGGGGGGCAAGCGAGCGACTCCCCCTCCTGAACAATACCAGGCCACATGCCCTCAACATGGGGGGGGTGTTTTGGGGACAAGGGCCTCTTCCCCACAACCGTGGCTGGTGGTTTGTTGGGGTCTGTGGGCGGGAATCTTATCGGAATCTGGAAGCCCCCTATAACTAGGGAGCCCCCAGATCCTGCCCCCCTTCCCATGTGAATGAGTAGGGGGTGCATGGTATCGCTCCTCGTTCACAAAAAAAAAGAGTAGTGTGAAAAATTACAGAAAACAGTCTTTGACAAGTCCTTTATTATAACCAAAAATTTAAAACATTTCCCCGAAGTAGATCGAACGTTGGGGTCTTATCGGAATCTGGAAGCACCCTATAACTAGGGGCCCCCAGATCCTGACCCCCTTCACATGTGAGTACATGGTACCACTCCTCATTCACAAAAAAAAGTGCAGTGTGAAAAATTATAGAAAACACTTGTCTTTGACAAGTCCTTTGTTAAAAACAAAAATTTAAAAAATGTCCCCGAAGTAGATCCAACGTCGGGGGTCTTATCAGAATCTGGCAGCCCCCTATAACAAGGGGGGCCACCAGATCCTGCCCCCCTTCCCATATGAATGAGTAGGGGTGCATGGTATTGCTTCTCGTTCACAAAAAAAAAAAGTGTAGTGTGAAAAATTACCGAAAACAGTCTTTGACAAGTCCTGTATTATAACCAAAAATGTAAAAAATTTCCCCGAAGTAGATCCAACGTCGGGGGTCTTATCAGAATCTGGAAGCACCCTATAGCAAGGGGCCCCCAGATCCTGACCCCCTTCACATGTGAGTATAGGGTACATGGTACCGCTCCTCATTCACAAAAAAAAAAGTGCAGTGTGAAAAATGACAGAAAACACTTGTCTTTGACAAGTCCTTTGTTAAAAACAAAAATGTAAAAAATGTCCCCTGAAGTAGATCCAACGTCAAGATCCCAAAAAACCCAAAAACCGCTCCCCTCTTGATGCTGGCTCTCACGTCTGAGAGCTGCGCTGGCCTGACAGTTCTTAAATATCTAAGAGGCGGGGCCACCCAATGACGTCAACCCCTTGGGATGCCATCATGCACTATAATTGGTCAAAGCATTGCACCTGACCTGTGGAGATCAGAGCGCAGTGCACTGTGGGGGGCGGTGGGGTGGGGTATGTACGCCGAACACACGAACAACTGATGTTCGAGTCAACTCAAACTTCAAGCCAAACTCTAGTAGTCTCCATCAGAAGCCCATGTGACCGAGTGACAACACAGTAGCACAACTGGGGGACAGAGAGTGTTGCCTTACAAGTGTGTGACTGGCCGTGGTCTGCATTCTACATAATATATTGTAACATAATAGAAAATTCTAATAAATGTATTTATTTATTACAGGTACTTATATAGTGCCATCAATTTACACAGCGCCATACATATATATTGTACTTTCACATCAGTCCCTGTCCTCAAGGGGCGTACAATCTAAGGTGCCTGATTCACATTCATACATACACATGCTAGGGACAAAGCAGGCAGGAGCCAGTTCACTTACCAGCAGGGGCGGACTGACCATTCGAGCACTCAGGCACTGCCCAAGGGCCCGGGGTCAGTAGGGGGCCCCATGAGATGCCCCTGGTACCTTTCATTGGCTTTTTCATAGGCTTTTTTGGGTGTTGGCGAGAACACAGGGGCCCCATTATCTCTTATTGCCCATGGGCCCCATGAGTTGTCAGTCCACCCCTGCCTACCAGCATGTCTTTGGAGTGTGGAAGGAAACCGGAGGGCCAAGAGGAAACCCACACAGGTACAGGTAGAACAAACATGCAAACTCCAAGCAAGTAGTGGCATGGTGGGATATGAACCAACAACCCTAGTGCTGCCAGGCAGAAGTGCTAACCATTTAATCAATAAATAGCTCTTTCCTACGTAAAACAACCTTTTTTGACTGAATTCTTCCTTTAACATTCGGAAAAAATGTATTCCCACTAAAATAAAATCCCACACTTTCCCTAGAAAGTCTTTACTTTTAGCCATTCAGCATGAACTGCTGGCTGAGACTTGTAGTTCCTCCACAGCTGAAGTAATAACTCACTTTGCACATTATCAGTTGACCGACTGTCTTCAGAACCTGGAAGGCCCAAGGCAAGGAAGAGGTCAAGTGGGGCCCTTCAGGCGTGGACATGTTATCACATTAGCGGCTGGTTATCTTTAGCACCTCTGCTCATGTGTCACCCCCAATTAATATATCTCACCGGCCTGGCAGTTCACACCGACAGGCCCTAAAGATGCCACTTAATTTGTGACACTGCTATTACACTTAAAGAGAAACTGTCAAGAGAAAGTCGCAATTGCTGCTAACTTGCTCTTCCATGTAGAGTTTATGTAACCCTATTAAGATCACAAGGATTAGCAGAATCTAGGCAAGAGCTTGTGGGAGCAAAACTCGCTTATTAGAGAAGTAGAGTTCTGTGGAGAAAATATTATTCCTTTTAAAAGAAATATTGTATATTTCAGTGATTTCAGCTTATCCTACTCTGCTGCTGTTCTGTAGACATTTAGATGGAACATTTCAGTTTGTTTGCTGCATAGGAGTGCCAAGTGGGAACATGACTGAGCTGAGAAGGTGCTGGCCATACCTGTGCTCAGACCGCGGCCGCATAAGCTGTCAAGCAAACTCCAAACGAAAAAGACGGCAACGCGGAATACTATGCTAATAAAATCTTCTTTATTACAGATCCAATGCACAAAAAAAGGTGACGCGTTTCAGCCATGGTGAGCTTTAGTCATGTGAATAAAGCCCACCAGCGCTGAAACGCATCAACACTTTTTGTGCATTGAATTTTATTTATTTCAGGTACTTATATAGCGCTGTCAATTTACGCAGCGCTTTACATATATTGTACATTCACATCAGTCCCTAACCCTCAAGGGGTGTACAATCTAAGGTCCCTAACTTACATTCATATACAAGGGCCAATTTAGACAGGAACCAGTTAACCTACCAGCATGTCTTTGGAGTGTGGGAGGAAACCGGATTACCTGGAGGAAACCCACGCAGGCACAGGGAGAACATGCAAACTCCAGGCAGGAGGTGCCGTGGCTGGGATTCGAACCAGCGCCCCTAGCACTGCCAGGCAGAAGTGCTAACCATTTAGCCACTGTGCTGCCCAATTCCTCTCTATCCTGATGGATCTATATTAACTCCTTCCCTCCCATCCTATTGTACAATGACAACCGAGTGGGAACCCTATTATCCTGGGAGGACATCATATGACGTCCTCCCAGGATCGCTGCAGTCCTTCTGCCTTGCACAAATGATGAAATGGCCATTTCTGTGCTCAGACCGCAGCCACATAAGCTGTCAAAGAACGGCAACGTGATATACTATGCTAACAAAATCCTCTTTATTACAGATCCAATGCCCAAAAAACGACACGTTTCAGCCCTGGTAAGCTTTAGTCATATGAATAAAGCCCACCAGGGCTGAAACACGTCAACACATTTTGTGCATTGGATTCCTCTCTGTATTAACTCCTTCCCTCATGACCTATTGTACAATGGCAGCCAAGTGGAAACCCTATTATCCTGGGATGACATCATATGACATCCTCCCAGGATCATGCCTCGCACGTGCCCCAGGGGGCATCAGCCCCAACATGGTCTGTCACTGGCTATGTCCACAGGACACGGCCAATGACAGCTCACTACATCGACCCGCTACTAGTGTCATGTGATCGCTGTGACCAAGCACAGCAGATCACATAATGGTTGTAAACAATGAATGGCTTCCTTACATGCCATGCACTGCTTACAACTGTCCTGCGAGCTGTGGTTGGTCACAGTGATCACATGTACAGACTGGGCCAATCACAGCCTATCTGTAGAACGTGATCAGCTATGGCCAATCACAGCTGATCACAACAAAAACTACCGAATGAATTGATTTCATTCAGTAAAAATGCTTGCTTATACCAATATAATTTGTTGGTATAAGCAATCATATGTAAAAAAGGAAAAACAATCCTGATCACTTGCCCAGAGTAGTACAAAGTTACTGTGGTAGAATTGTATTGCTCTGGTCACAGGAGAAAAAAAAAATGGAAAAAAAATGTTTTAAAAATGTTTTTATAAAAAATGAAAAAAAAATGAAAAAAATATTCTCTCTTTTTTTACATACTGTTGCCAGTCAGTGTCCCTGATCACCGCCACACCAGTTATATGACACTGTACTGCATTGGTGTATGTAAGAAAAAAAAAGTGAACATTTTTTTTTCATTTCTTCATTTTCCACAAAATTATGTCAAAAAAATTACTACTTGAAAAAACTCACCATGCCTCTTACTAAATACCTCAGGCTGTCTACTGAAAAGTGGTCATTTTGGGAGTATTTGTACTGTCCTGGGCCTCAAGAAATGAGATCAGCTGTCAGTACATCAGGATTTATACATTTTTATATATACAGTATACCATAGCTTGTGGACTATAACTTTCCTGCCAACTAAACAATAAACACTGATTCGGGTTTTCACCAAAGACATGTAGCAGAATACATTTTGGCCTAAATTTGTTTACTTATTAGCAAAATGTTATATTAGAAACAAATAAAAATGCTTTTTTTTTTCATTTTTTTTGGTCTTTTATCGTTTATAGTGAAAAAAAAAACATAGTAATTAAATACCACCAAAAGAAATCTCTATTTGTGTAAAAAAATTATAAAAATTTAATATGGGTACAGTGTTGCATGACCGCGCAATTGTCATTTAAAGTGCAACAGTGCTGAAAGATGAAAATTGGCCTGGGCAGGAAAGGGGTAAAAGTGCCCTGTAGGCAAGTGGTTAAGATTTTATTAGCGTGGTATTCCGTGTTGCCAAGCTTTTCATTTGAAGGATTCTCTTCTGCCTCCACATCTTTTCTTCACCTCCTGCATTCTGCAGAACACAGTTGTCAAACTGATTGCTCCTCCTCAGGGGCGGACTGACCATTTGGAAACTTGGGCGCTGCCCGAGGGCCCGGGGTCAGTAGGGGGCCCCATGAGATGCCCCTGGTACCTTTTTCATAGGCTTTTTTGAGTTTGGGCAAGGACACAGGGGCCCCATGATCCCCTATTGCCTGGGGGCCCCATGAGTTGTCAGTCTCCTCCCAGTATTATCAGAGAAGCTCTGATGTCAGCAGGAGTGATGTCACCGCTTCTGAACATCGCAGCACAGCTGGGCAGCTGTCAGTGTCAGCAGAACTCAGCTGATTAGAATGGGAGAGCTGCACTCTCCCAGTGTAATCTGCAATGTTGGACTGTCAGTGTGGTTGCCCAGTCTTGCTCTAAATTAAAGAGTAACTTCACTTTTGTTGAGAAAAAAAAAAAAAACATTCCCCTCTGGGCAGGAGTGTATTTAGATTTTTTGCTGCCCCCCCTCTCCTGGTGACATCTCCAGAGCAATTGAAGCGACAGGTGCAGTGGCTCTCCATGGCCATGTACTGGTGGGGGGAGGGGATCTCCCAGTACCGGTATTCTTGGTGTGACACTTCCCCTACCCTGGAGATCAGGCAGACTCCCCTGGACAGCGGCTCTCCTCCCCAGGTGCTGCCCCGGGGTGTACATGTATCCCAGATTGTTCCCCCCCCCCCAGCTTCCTGCACCGGTGCCTGTGACCCTGTCTCATGCTAATTATCAATGCACTGCAGGAGGGGTAAGGGTGGCCAGGGCAAGGTACAGACCAGGACTGGCCAGCAGCCTCATCACACTGGAGGAGAGGGATCACACCCCAGGCACCAGCCTCAGTTTGACCGCCGGCCACCAGTCCCCCCCGCCTGTGACCCCTGTACACCACCCCAAACCCCTCCCCCAGAGAAGGAGAGAGACTCTCCATCCAGTCCCAGTGCCCAGGAAAAGCATTGTCCCTTCTTCCGGGGGGGGGGGGGTGCAGCCCTCCTGAAAAATACTGCCCAAGGCAAATGCCTTGTTTGCCTCACAGCAAATATGCCCCTGCTTCTTGATGATCTATGCACATGGTAAGAATTGTAACAAACCTTTTTGCAGATTCCTACCTTTTGTTATCCTGGAGAAATAGCTGTTTGTTTGTCTGTGTCCATGTGAAAAGTGAATGTGAACGGGATTGACTGTATAATTATCAATCAGCTGCTGCGCTTGCAGGGTTCTACTGAGGAAAGTGTCAGGGTCTGCATCCTTTTAAACATTTATTACCTTTGGGAGTATCTCACCAAAAATTACATTTTTATTGCAAGGGATGCCCAAAATCTGACTTGTATCTTAGTGCAGACTTCTGGGAAAACCAATGAGCCAATTACACAAGGAGGAAATTACATTTCTATGGGGCTGTTCTGTACACCATCTCTGCAGAGAACACCTCCAGGTTGCCAGACATGTACAATGGTTGCAGATTGAAAAGGAAAGGTAATTTTTAATCAACTACAATATTGTTTGTGTTGAAATTGTATTACTTTTTATACAATTTGTTTGCTATATTATTTTTTCATTTCATTCATTTGCTATTTTTTCCCTCATGAAAGTGGAGTTACCCTTTAAAGCTGAAGTCTGGGCACAGAAACTCTCATTTAAATATATTCCTCAGTAGCCACAAAGGATATAAAAGAGCTAGATGCAGAGCTGAAATACAAATACGTGAATGCTTACCTGCCAATGAATTGAAGGCCAGTTCACAGCAGACTGCTGTGTGGGAAACCCAAATTCTGTGCTTGTTCCCCACACTGCATTCACAGCGGCACTGCAGTTGTGATCTGCAGCGGGTGTCAATTTTACATTTTACGTCTGCTATGCAGAGCCATACAAAGCAGTGTGCTGGAGCTGACAGGGGAGAGATCTGTATTGTTTACATACAGGTCTCTCCCTTGTAGGTAATACTCGGAGATCATTGGGTGCCGGCAGGGAATCACCAGTCGGGACCCGGTGATTGACAGCCGCGGCCACAATTGGTGGCGGGGTGGGGTCCACCGTCACACTCCCCCTACCCGGAATGGCAAAATCACACACATATACTGTATATATATACATGATTTTGCGCACCCGTGCCACCCTGTAGAAGTATTTCTGCTATAGGATGACGCAGAAGCGGTTAAATTTGTTTTTGGGGAATAGCGCTGCACTTATATATCACATATACGTAGTTACATTGCTCCAAGCTGGACCAATATTTACTATGTAAAATGTGCCATATCAGGAATTCTTCTTTGATGAACACATGCAGTTCAGCTTTAACATCCAGGGAACCATGCAAAACTGAAATATCAACATTGGGTGAAGTTGGTTTTTAATTGACCTTGCGATAACCTGCGTTTCACTGCGTCATGGGTGCTGTATGTAGTAATATCTCCATACTGTACATTCAGCGTTTAAAGCCGGTAGAATTGCGCTCATTTAAACTAAAAGCACAGATCCACAAAGAGCCCAGGAACATTTTTTCGGTATATTTCCCCATCCGCCATAAATATTTCTTATTCCTGAATGGAAGAGACAATATCAGCACTACTTTCTTAGACTTCAGCAGACGCCACAATGTCCCTGAGACTCGGGAAGGTGACATATGCTACAATAATGCTGACTGCTTTCTGTGGACATGACATTCGGAATCACACTCAATTTAACATTTTTTGCAGAAATGCCAAAGTGTTATTTACAAGCCCTGGGAAGTGCCGAGCGGCTGAAATGTACCGCGCAGACCTATACATCCTGCAGACGCTTTATACTCTGATATAAAATCAGCAATTAATTTTCAGCTACCATCCGAGGTGCTAATGGCCTGCAGCGGTTTATTAACCAGGCATATATATTCCTGCACAAAGCCAACAGGAAAAAGCTTTATTCATCTATATAGAGACTTCATTTTAAGAAGGTTACCAAAACCCTATAGTGTAAAGGGTCCCATTGCTTCTGAAGGACGAGCGCCACTAAGCATTGTGTACAGCTACTAGCAACATAAAATAATTGCAGCATCATTTCAAAACAATTACATCCATTTGTAGGATTCCTAAGCTTTCACCCATCATGTTCTTCTGGATAAACTAAAGTTCATGTATAGTAAATCCAATCACTAAAATAAAGTCTCTGCCATAAAGGTACAGGAAGTTCAGGTCCTTCCTGTTATAGGGTGACAACACTCTGTCAATATCTCTCAGTTGAGCTCCTGCGTTGTCGCCCTGACTCTTAGGTTTTCAATGGCGATTAAAAGTCACCATTTCAACAGCATGCTGTTAAAGTGGAACGTCATTCAAAAAGTGAAGTCCTACTGGTTCACTCCCACCCCCCAGTCTGTTACTTGAGTTACATAGGGGTTTTTTTTGGGGGGGGGAGTGAGTACTGATTTTTAATGGTGAGGATGACGCCTCTTTCCTTGTCCTCTCCCGCAGCTGCCTGGGACATGTCCCATGTCCAGGGAGGCTGCAGGGCCATTCACAAAGTGCCATGCAAGCTTTTTTGCATATCCTGGAACTCCTTATGGGGGTCCCTAAAGATTAAAGAGAAACTTCAACCCCAATGTACATTTTTTTAAATCCCCTTTTTCCTGATTTCTTGGGTTATCCTCAAAATACATATTCGCACATCAAGCAAATCCAGAATTGTCTTGTTGCAATCTGCCCAATCACCACCACACACCAGGTCCCATGCCACCATCTTCTTTGTTATGTCATTAGGGGGCAACTGTCTCTCCTGGGGTTTTGCAGCCAAAACCCTGATCATGCATGCGCCGCAGCGCATGATCAGCGTGCCAGCTGTATGAACAAAAAAGAAACCGCCACCCTGTGATAATGTGCATTGGCGTATGTGGTGTAGGTACCTAGATGTCTCCTGTGTGACATCAGTATCCCGGAAGGCTGCTGACAATTGATATGTCATTCTTTCCTAGGCACGAATCCCAGGAGATGTCCCTAAAAAAGGTATAGGGTAGGGAGAGTATAGGTCCGTGCTCTGTTTCAAAAGCCACTTTATGCATTGACATACCCCATTAGACCCAGTCTGTCCAAACAGTATGGTCAGCTGCTCACTTAGCACAATCCACAGGCAGCTTAACTCTTCAATAAAAAACAGACATTTTATCCAATGCAATTTTTTTCTTCAGTTAATTGAAGTACAGAGGATGTTTTTCTAGTCTTTGAAGTGTAAGAAGACAATGACTTACCTAAGCCCTGTCTCTGCAAACTGGAGCTGAATAACCACCAGAGCTAATGCAAACTGGGATCTACCAGTCCATATTATTAAAGTCAGTCATATATAAGGATTCTTCCAATGTCATCCCAAAAGCAGTTCCTCCATAGATTCCCAGGTAATGTGTAGGCCTTGCTGCCCTCTTCAGATAGGAGGACTCCTTAGGGTAGTAGGGTTAGATTTACTAAAATTGGTGCACTCAGAATCTAGTGCAGCTGTGCATGGTAGCCAATCAGCTCCTAACTTCAGCTTGTTCAGTTAAGCTTTGCCATTAAAACCTGGAAGCTGATTGGTTTCTGTGTAGAGCTGCACCAGATTTTGCACTCTCCAGTTTTAGTAAGTAACCTCCACTAGCTACAGGAGAAACGAAAGTGAAGATGCACCTCTCTCCCCATATTACCATAAAATTAGTTTATTTAAAATAAAAATATTTCCAACCTACTCACAATCGTAAGTAAATCAGGCAGATCAGTAGGCTCCAGTAAACACAATCCAATAGCAATGCTCAAGTGATGCCCAAAAACTGGAAGTGAGGCTTACACATTTCAAGGGCAGAACCTTCTTCATTCACCTTGGAAATATTTTTATTTTAAATAAATACATTTTTTGGTAAAAGGCTGGTGCACCCTCTCTCTTTTTTGTTATAGTTACCATGTCTCTGCAAAGTACAAACACCGACTAAGGGACCATGGAAGAAATGGGAGGGTCTAGCTAGAACTAAGCTAACTTTTGAAGTGTAAGAAGGCAATGACTTACCTAAAGCAAAAAACTGTTGCGCTATACCTTTAACTTAATAAAACATACATAACTCCCTTAAGTGCAAAAAATGTGTATATAAGTCCAAACATACCCAATATAATTATAATCCAGTGACATGAAAGCTTCAAGATCCCTTGTGACTCCACCACCAAAGAGAATGTCTTCTGGGACGAAACATGCCTGGGTGGAGCCTGTGCTGATGTCAATATGCTACTGAACTAAGCAGTAGCTGGGTTGTTTGTTTTGCTCGTATACTCTGTTGAATAATGTAATACCTTTCTTTGTTGCTAATAAAATGCAAAAATGGTTTTACACTATGAGGTTGTTATCTGCTTTCTTTGGTGTAATCCTGACACATGCTTAGTGGAGGTACTGGCTGCAGCTGAATTCCCTTGATCTCTTCTGGAGGGCGGTGTCGTTCCCAATCATCCCAAGGCATTTACATTGTGTGTGAACCTCTGAAGCTTTGAGGTCTGTTCATCTGCTAAGAGGCTGTCATTGTATATATTGGTGGTGGTGGAGTCGCAAAGGATTTTGAAGAAGCTTTCACTGAATCACAATTATATTGGATATGTTGAACTTGTATACACATTTTTTCACTTAAAGCAGAACTTCACCCAAAAGGGGAAGTTCTACTTGTTTACATCCCCCCCCCCCCCCCTCCACTGCCACATCTGCACTTTTTTGAGGAGAGGTGGAGGGGAGCGGGTACCTGGTTTTGACAGGGACCCACTCCCACTTTCGGTTAGATCTGCTGTGACGATCTGAGCCAGAAGTTTGCCCCCCCCCTTTCTCCCACAGCCTGCTAGGACACTTAACAGGTCCAAGAAGACTGCGGGATCATTCACAAAGCGCTCTTTGCACATGCGCAGTATGAAATTGGCTGTGAAGCCTAAAGGCTTTATTGCCAGTTTCCCTTACTGAAGATATCAGCACCTGCACCCAAAGTCAATTAAAAAATCGGCTTGGGTGAGGACATAGCTGGATCCCTGGACAGGTAAGTGTCCTTATACTAAAAGTCAGCAGCTACAGGATTTTTTAAAAAATGTTTTAGGGGGGGAGCCTAGCCCTCCTCTATAATGCAGTAAAAGGTATTTAGCAGTTTATATTTACTAAAATAATGGTATTCCCATGTTGTGTGCACTGTGTGAGACCAGATATAGTGAATGCAGGGTCAGGGGTTTAGCATCACTTTAAGCAATGAACCAATAGAAAATGTTCTTAGACCAGGCCTGGTTGACTGTTCCAAAAATGTAGAGGTCAGCTCCAAGAGTAACTCTGCAGTACCCCAATGCTTGTTACTGCCCAGCATGCTTATTGCTGCCATATATTATTTACGAAAGCTTGATTGCACAAGCTGAAGATAGAAGCTGATTGGCTACCATGCATAGCTGCACCAAATTCTGAGTACACCAGTTTTAGTAAATCTTGCCCATAGTGTCCCTACGCCCAGTACTGACCTCCTTACAGTACTTCTATGCTCAGAAATGACCTGCATAGTGTCCCTGTGCTCAATATAGACCTCCCCATAGTAATTCTGTGCTCAGTACAGACCTCCCTGTAGTGCACCTATACTCCATAATGGTCCCTCATAGTTTCCCTTTGATCAGTACACACCCCCCTTCCCCCCCATAGCACCCATATGCTTAGCACTGATCTCATCCTAGTGCCCCTGTGCTCAGTTCAGAGCTCCAGTCAATGCCTCCATGCTTAGTACTGGCCTCCCCTTCTTCCAGCGTCTCCCTCTTATCTCCTGATAAGACATATTGTGTGTAGTCACTCTGCACATGCTCAGTTTGGTGTGTACTGCTAGAGAGGTTTTTCTTTTTTTCTTGGGAGAATGCATGTGATCAGCACAGGGCCTATCAGCACTATCCAAGATTTGCCTTCCATGGACATCAAAAGGTTTTTTTTTTTTAGCTAGGTTGGGAGTTCGTGGAATTAAAAAAGCTTGGATGAACACCCATGAATTAAAGTGTTACTAAACCCGCAACAGTAAGATCAGTCTGTATGTGCAGTAAAGTATGCTTGTTATACCCACTGTGGAACCTAAGGGATTAATCCTCTGCATTGTGTAAGAAGGCTGTTTGATCCTGTCTTCTCTGCTCCTCCCCTTGTTCAAATTTCCATGTTTTATCTCCTGATAGGACAGACTGAACCGTAGCCATTCTGCACATGCTCAGTTTAGTGTGTATTGCTAGAGAGAGGTTTTTTTTCTTGAGAGAGTGCATGTGATCAGCACAGGGCCAATCAGTACTGTCCAGACAGAGGTCAGGGGTTCTGCATCCTCCTAGAGCAGAATGAAAACTCCTTCTACAAGCTTTAACCAGCGCTCGGCTGGACACTGATAGAAGTCACAAGACTGCTCTAACTGCTGATGAGAAAAGGTATTTAGCAGTTTATATTTACTAAAATAATTGCATTTGCATATTCTGTGTACTGTGAGAGACCAGATATAGTGAATGCAGGGCCCTGGGTTTAGTAACACTTTAAGCTCCGCTTGAACTACAAAGGCCAGAAGGAAAGTTTGTCCCCAAGAAATGAAAAAGTTAAAGTCAGACATAATCTCATTTGTGATGAAAGCAATGCACTGGGGAGCCGACGTAAACATGTTACACCTGTCAGTCCAGCACTGGCAATGAACCAGATTCTGAATGCATAAGCACATTAGTGTACATGTAACCTAAGCTAAATGCACTAATTCGAGCTGATGGAGTGCTGTAGAGATGCTCCTGTCTGATTGAATTACCTTAATTGTAAATATTTTGATCTCATCAGCTGAAATGGAATTTCAGGTTTGCATTTAGAGAACATCTTAGAGAAAACACTCTTTTGCACTGTAGCCAACGTAACCCATGTTCTGCAATTTGCGATGCATCAGCAGAAAGTCAAAGTCACCTACATTACAAAAATTGCATGGGTATTCCCAGTTATAAAAAAAAAAAAAAAAAGAGGCAAAGTTCTGGAGTATTTCACTAAACATATTTGTTTTCAGTTCTTCCAATATCAGCTGCAGAAGGCAGAGCTCAGCCAGCAGCTCACTAGCCCAAAGACTGGAGCACCAGCACCCTCTACTGATACATCGGATTTATTGCCACCATAAACTGGCCAAGCTGTACCTATTAACAGTATTACAAAATACTATATTTTCATACTTTCTAAATTTTACTGGCTGGAAACGTTCCCCTGCTCATTAATTACAGAAGGTTAACACATGCTGATGAAGGCAGTTGGGTTGCAAATTTTTTTTATCAGTTTTAAGTCAGATCTATTTTTCAAGGTTACAGCAAGGACACCGACACAGTGCCCTAGTCTTGCTATGAAAATTGCCTGATAAAAAGTCTCGAGTCTAAAATATTTCTCGCTTCTTCCTAGGGATTATTTTTTATGTATATTGCGGCGTCTTACAACCTCAGCAGCTTGCTAAACATTCTGTTGATATATTGACATAAGCATCAATGTGCAGATTCATAGAACCATGCATAATTCTGATGCTTATACTTTATGCAAAGGCTGTACCTAAAAGCAGTGCAGATCCTAGACACCCCCCCCCATACTACGATCCCCTCCTCCGCTCTTAGGATTCATGTACACGGGACGTTTGGAAAACACTTCTGAACAATGGAAACTGACTGCTGGAATACGTAGGTTAAAAAATGTTTGTTTAGCCGCGTTTGCATACCGCATTTATGAGCATTTATGAGCGTTTGTGTTTAGAAGCGTTTTTTAAACCATTTGCCGCCCGCCCTATGGCCGAATGGCGGGTGGCAAATGTCATCAGCGTTCCGGGTGGACGCCATATGGCGTCCTCCCATACATGCGCAGATTGCGCTCCTGCAGAGTGGCGCAGTGGCATGATCTGTCACCAGCCATGTACCTCGGACACGGCAGATGACAGATCTGAGTATCGGCCCCGTTGCCGGGTACCATGTGACCTGCGGTGACCAATCACAGCAGGTCACATGACAGTTGTATATAATGGATGGCTTTATTCATGCCATCCATTGTATACTACTGCCTAGCTGAGAATGGTCACAGCTAATCACATGCACATGTCATGTGATTAGCTGTGGCCAAATCACAGCTAAGCACACAAAAAAAAAACCCTGAATGAATCGATGTCATTCAGGTAAATGCTTGCTTATAGCAAAGTAATTCTTTGCTATAAGCAAATTGTGTAAAAAAAAAAAAAAAAAAAAATACTGATCACTTCCCCAAAGTATTATTTTTTGGTAAATTTTTGGTCTTTTTTTGTTAATTTAGCAAAAAATAAAAACCCCGGCGGTGATTAAATACCACCAAAAGAAAGCTCTAGTTGTGTGAAGAAAATGATAAAATTTTAGTTTGAGTACAATGTTGTTTGACCGTGTAATTGTCATTCAAAGTGTGAGAGCGCTGAAACCTGAAAACTGGCCTGGGCAGGAAGGTGTAAAATTGCCCGGTATTGAATTGGTTAAAGATAACCTCAGGAGACCTTCCAAAATGTCCAGAATGCACTGAAAAACAGTAAAAAATTAACTATTTCAGACATTTTGAGAGAAATAGAGAGAGCAGAAGCAGAGATAGCAGTATTTGTTAAGATTAGCTGTCTTTTTTTTTTGTGGTGTTTGGATGTGTGTTCCAAGTCATTTCTGTGCAGAAATTATTGCAGCAGTGTCTAACATACAAGTTTGGCGCGTTAAAAAAAACGACTGTAAACTCAACTGCTTGTAAACGGCTGTAAAGGACATAGTGTACATGGACACATAGGAAAACATTAGGGAGAGTTCAGGGGCTGCTGAAAAAACACAGAAAAACTCCTAAACGTGGGTTTATCAGCTGCAGTGTACATGGAGCCTTATTATTATACAGAGGTTGCAAGTGTTTGGATGTGTTCCAAGTCATTTCTGTGCAGAAATTATTGCAGGAGTGTCTAACATATTTTCTTTCATGCAAAACCTGAATGTATGGGGTACCAGGTCCATTTGAGTACCGGGAAAAAACACTTTGCATGCATTTTTCATGATGGAAAAAGGCTCTGGACAGCATCTGGAAATGGAAGAGTTAAAAAAATTTCCAAATGCTTATAAACGCAGTTGGCTGCGTTTAGCCACGTTTACACGTGTTTACAAGCTTTTGGCGGTTGAAACTCTGATAAAATCTACTCCTGAACACAAGTTTGGCGCGTTAAAAAAAACGATTGTAAACTCAACTGCTTGTAAACGGCTGTAAAGGACATAGTGTACATGGACACATAGGAAAACATTAGGGAGAGTTCAGGGGCTGCTGAAAAAACACAGAAAAACTCCTAAACGTGGGTTTATCAGCTGCAGTGTACATGGAGCCTTATTATTATACAGAGGTTGCAACCGCAGAGGTGCTGCACCATGTAGCTGGAGTGCAGGGTGGTGATGCTTCTCTAGGCATCCCCCACGCTTAGTTATATGCTATATATCAGTAATTGTGGGCAGAAAATAGAAGGTAAACTCCAAACACTTGCTCTTCATCTACCTTTGATCTGGACCAGCCTTTCTAAAACTTTTCCACACAGAGGAACCCTTGAAATGACTTTCTGTCTCAGGGAACCCCTAGTAAAAATTACCATATCTATGTACAACCCATGACACATTAGTGCAGGGTTTTTCTCAACCAGGGTTCCATGGAACGCTAGGGTTCCTCCAGAGGTTTCTAGGGGTTCCTTGAACATTTCTGCCTCTTAGATAAGTCCCCACTGACACCATTGATTTTTTTTTCATTACCTGTAATTCATTGTTTTCATAATATTTTATTTTGGATTCATTAAAAATTCTTAGTATCTAGATCTCCAAATCATGAAAATTTCATCTGAATTTCAATTAGTAACAAAACAAATTGCACGTCTACTCAACCCTTCTACTGATCTATTGCTGTCATAGGTAGCCTCACTGGGCGATAGTGACGCACATAGAATGACAAAGGGCAGGCTAGAGACCACGACTTTTGCAGATTTGTTAATATTTGCAGAAAAGGACTCAATTTTTTCTGGGGCTCTAGTTCAGGGTTTCTCATCGAGGATTCCATGGGACTCTAGGGTTGCTCCTGAGATTGCTAGGGGGGCTCCCTGAGCAATTAGCAATTTCAGATAAGTTTCCATTGACACCGTTGATCTTTTTCGTTATCTGTAATTCATTATTTTCATTATATTTTATTTTGGATTCATTAAAAATCCTTACTATCCAAATGTCCAAATCACAAAATTTAATCTGAATTTCAATTAGTAACAAAATGAATAGCACATGTCTACTCAACCCTTCTACTGATCTATTGCTGTCATAGGTAGCCTCACTGGGCGATAGTGACGCACATAGAATGACAGTGGGCAGACTAGAGACCACAACCTTTGCAGATTTGTCAGTATTTGCATAAAAGGACTCCATTTCTTTTGGGGCTCTAGTTCAGGGTTTCTCAACCAGGTTTCCTCCTGAGGTTGCTAGGGGTGGTTCCTTGAGCAATGAGCAATTTCAGATTTCCACTGGTTTCAGGTTTCCACTGACACCATTGATCTTTTTAGCTATCTGTAAGAGGGTAATTCTTACCTATGACCACAAGTGTATGGAGCATTCTTCTCCCTTTGTTCACATGGGTTTTCTAATTTTTTTCCTACACTCAAGACATGCTTGTAGGTCAACTGGCTCTTGTCCAAATAGGTCCTAGTACATGTGTAAAAATTGACGACACATAATTATCACATCACATTCTGCATGCGAGTCTCAAACCAAGCAAATTGGGAAAGGGGGGAAGTTGAGGAAAGACCTGGAAACCTACATCTTTTATGGAAAAGACTACCTCTTCAAGTGTACCAGACATGGTACCACTAGAATCGCTGTTGGATCAACTTGGAGTTGAGATGGATATGGCTGAATGGATAACCTGTGCAACCTGTGAAGACATTTAAAGCCTAGCTCCATGTATGAAGTTTAAATAGTTAGTTTGGACCACACTGGTCCAAATTAGCTATTTCCTTCATTAAGGCTAGGTTCACACCTATGCAGTTTGTGTTTTATCTGTTTCTGCAGTGCTTTTTGTGGTACATTTTTGCATATGCGTTTTTGATGTGTTTTGCTTTTTTTTGTTTTCCTTTTTTCAACTTGCTCCTGGGCAGAATAAAATGCAAAATGCATAAAAAACGCACTACATACTCTTCTGCAGTGTCTCCAATGAAGACTATAGAACCAAAACCGCAACACTTTGCATTAAAAAAAGTCCCTGACCCTTTCCAAAAAACACACCGGGCAAAAATGCGGTAATAGGAAATCATGTTAAATGGACTGCTGTGCGTTTCTGCAAAGTGCGA